CGAATTTAGGGCGCATCCATGCCATAACATGCTTTTCTATGTGTCCGACACTTTCACCACAACAACCAGTTCTTATTTTAAGAAATGTCGATAGTCAGGTCGGCATTTCATCTGAGTTAATTCCCAAATATTTCATATCTCAGAAGATCGGTTGGCGAGCATACGCAAGCTTTCGACAAATTCTCATCAAGTCTTTGCATTTATATGGGAACGGGACCAAAGGTTAACATGCGGTCAACTATTCTCGTCATTTCATGCAAATGAATCATGGGAATAGAGGGAGGGGAGGTAGTTGAGGGTCAGTAATAGACGGCTGGTTACGCGGCAGTGATGGCTTGCTTAAGTCGGTCCAGCAATTAGGAGAGAGAGAGAGAGCGTGGACGAGTGCATGCAGTTAAGTGCCCGTTGGCTATGCCAAGCGCGGAGCTTACTGGAGGTCCTTTGTGCACACAAGACCGGTCCTCTCAACTTGATAGCAGCTGCTTCTGCTGTTGCTAGCAGATGCTAACCCAGGGACTTGGGGTAATTTAGTGGGACCTTGTAAATCACGCGAAAGGCTTCATTGGGGTCTATACGATATCCAGAACCAACAATGTTCGCCGGAATGAAGCTGTTTATGCTCTTAACTTCATCTTTTCTTAGCCATGTTGGGAGGTGTTCCCTTATTCTTTTCGATAGGCGCCGACTCGTGTGACGTATATAACCCCCTCGACAGGAGCAAGTAAGTGACTAAATGCGCATGGAGGTGGCAATCTACCCTTACCTTCCTCGTGTAAGTCCGGGTTGATTGAGAATAACACCCGAACTCTCCTTGTTGATAAGGTTCGTGGCACAACTTAGTCAAGGAGTCTTTTTAGCAGTTCACTTGTCGCATCCGCTTGAAACGGGGGCCTTGAGGGATAGGGCTTTCTTTCCCACTGAAAATTTGGTGGTTCTTACTTGTCTCGCAACCATATTCTTTGTACTGAATCTCTCAGGATATCCGTTTTCGCGAAGCAGGTCCTAGCTCGAGAAGAAGACAGCTCGATCGCTGGGACAATACTTTTATTCGTCTAACGTTTCGACATCCCTCTCGGATTCATCATCAGAGACATTAGCATAAAACGATAACAGAAACGGTT